GTATCGATCCCGCTACTTCTCGCATGCGAAGCGAGCGCTCTTCCATTTGAGCTAATTCCCCTACTTTTAAGCTACTTTCCAACTAATTTTCCTTTGCTTTTATTTTCTTTGTGAAATCTTATTCATTTTAGAGTTTTTCTACTTTTGTTTTTATTTAAAAAAATGTAATATAACCATTTTTTTCTGGAACGCACAGTTTTCCCATTCAAACCATTACAACACTCTTAATCCCATTTTTAGCAAATGTTTTCAAACTAGTCACAGGTTTCTTCTGTAATTAATTTACTTTAAAAAGCTTTTTAAGTTGTTGGAGAATGCGGGTATCGATCCCGCTACCTCTCGCATGCTAAGTGAGCGCTCTACCATTTGAGCTAATTCCCCTACTTTAAAGCTATTTTCCAACAAAATTTCCCCAGTATTCATTATCTTTGCAAAATCTTTTTCATTTTAGAGTTTTTAAACTTTTTTTTATAAAAAAAAGGAAAATAACCATTTTTTTCAAGACCGCACAGTTTTCCCATTCAAACCATTACAACACTCTTAATCCCATTTTTTAGCAAATGTTTTCAAACTAGTTACAGGTTTCTTCTGTAATTAATTTACTTTAAAAAGGTTTTCAAGTTGTTGGAGAATGCGAGTATCAATCCCGCTACCTCTCGCATGCGAAGTGAGCGCTCTACCATTTGAGCTAATTCCCCTACTTTTAAGCTATTTTCCAACTAATTTTCCTTGCTTTTATTTTCTTTGTGAAAACTTATTCATTTTAGAGTTTTTCTACTTTTGTTTTTATTTAAAAAAATGTAAAATAACCATTTTTTTCAAGAACGCACAGTTTTCCCATTCAAACCATTACAACACTCTTAATCCCATTTTTAGCAAATGTTTTCAAACTAGTTACAGGTTTCTTCTGTAATTAATTTACTTTAAAAAGGTTTTTAAGCGAACGCTCTACCATTTGAGCTAATTCCCCTACTTTTAAGCCATTTTCCAACTAATTTTCCTTGCTTTTATTTTCTTTGTGAAAACATTCATTTTAGAGTTTTTTTTACTTTTTTTTTATTTAAAAAATGTAAAATAACCATTTTTTTTCCAAGAACGCAGTTTTCCCATTCAAACCATTACAACACTTTCTTAGTCCCATTATTTGCAAATGTTTTCAAACTAGTCACATTTTTCTTCTGTAATTAATTTACTTTAAAAAGGTTTTCAAGTTGTTGGAGAATGCGGGAATTGATCCCGCTGCCTCTCGCATGCTAAGCGAGCACTCTACCATTTGAGCTAATTCCCCTATTTTTAAGCTATTTTCCAACAAAATTTCCCCAGTATTCATTATCTTTGCAAAATCTTTTTCATTTTAGAGTTTTTAAACTTTTTTTTATAAAAAAAAGGAAAATAACCATTTTTTTCAGGAACGCACAGTTTTCCCATTCAAACCATTACAACACTCTTAATCCCATTTTTAGCAAATGTTTTCAAACTAGTTACAGGTTTCTTCTGTAATTAATTTACTTTAAAAAGGTTTTCAAGTTGTTGGAGAATGCAGGTATCGATACCGCTAATTCTCGCATGCGAAGCGAGCGCTCTACCATTTGAGCTAATTCCCCTACTTTTAAGCTATTTTCCAACTATTTTTCCCTGCTTTTATTTTCTTTGTGAAAACTTATTCATTTGAGTTTTTCTACTTTTGTTTTTATTTTAAAAAATGTAAAATAACCATTTTTTCAAGAACGCACAGTTTTCCCATTCAAACCATTACAACACTCTTAATTTATTTTCTTTGTGAAAACTTATTTATTTTAGAGTTTTTTAACTTTTTTTATTTAAAAA